GATAAACATATATTTTAACTGTAAAATAAGGATTCTAAAAATACTGTAGGCTGTTTAGTTTTGTAAATTTTAAAAGATATATATTTTAACACGGGCGGGGCCATTTTATTTACACACAAAGCATTCTGGGTAAATGATGACGTGGATGGGTCCTTGGTGTGAGCGAGCTATATCCACCCTGAAGGTTAATCTTGGACAATATCTGATGATCGACTCTTTTAAATGAAACCAGAGAGCGTTGACAGAGAGGAGAAGGTAGAAATGACTCAGTCTGTAACTGAAAATATAGATGGAGGACAACAGAGCTGCTTCATGGAAGAAGAAACTCAGCTTAGCCTGTTAGCCTTTGTGCTAGCCCTCACACTATATTGACTTATATGTATTAGCTCAGTGCTAGCTCGACAAACAAGCTAAACTGAGGTCCTCCATCCATATTTTCAGTTCCAGGCTGAGTCATTTCTACCTTCTCCTCTCTGTCAACGCTCTCTGGTTTCATTTAAAAGAGTCGATCATCAGATATTGTCCAAGATTAACCTTCAGGGTGGATATAGCTCACTAGCAGCCTCACACCGATGACCTAGTTGATGTCATCATTTACCCAGAATGCTTTTTATAAATAAAGTGGCTCTGTCCGTGTAACATATTGTTTAAAATTTTACAAAACTAAACAGCCTACAGTATTTTTACAGACTTTATTTTACAGTTAAAATGTATGTTTATTAAATAAAGTCTAATGTTACAAATAATCATGGATCCCTTTAAGGAATCAGTTTAAGTTAGACCTTGGATTCAGCGTGAGGACTCAAACCATTAACTGAACCTACCAACTCTAAGAATAATACACACATTCAAAGGTTTAGGAACCATGAATACAAAACAAGTCAAAACACCAACACAATCAGTGTTGTGAATCTCAGGCAGGAATGAACCCATGATGCAGGCAGTTTCAAGGCTCCAACAAACAAAGTATTTATTCAACAAAAAAGGTGCTGACTGGGCAGCTCAAGAAACTCTGAGTGGCGTGACAAGACAAGACAAGGCACAATACAGAACATGACCAAACAATGACCTGACAGGGAAGTGACGACAAGACACAGAATCTAAAGGTGAGACTAATGAGCACAAACAGGGAACACCTGGGGGAGAAACATGAGGATCAGGTGTGAGTGGGCGGGGCTGCAGCAAAGACAGACAGGAGGAACAAAACACAGGAACATGACAAAAATCAGAATAAAGTCAAAATAAAAACATGAAACCAGACGAAATATAACAATCAGGGTCATAATATCTCTTATGTTCTTTGATTGACACAATAATATTTGTAACTAGATTAGATTAGATTAGACAGAAAGGCATTTTAAGAATGACCGAATTATTTACCATCATTTTTGAGTTAGCAAAGGTAAATATACTACATCAAGGTATATAAATCTTACTAAATAGGGTTCCTTTTAAGTATAAAGAAGGACAAAGTACTAAAAACCTCAGTCAAGTTTTTTTTGGAAGACATCCGGTTTACCGTGATGACTTTCTGACATTCTGCCATGTCCTAAATCAACCTGCCACTCACTTACTTTTTAACTAGCGACATGACAGACACAATACGTCTTGCATCGGTGCAGAACTTTGACACCGAACAAAAATAATGAGGTCCTGAAGAGTCTAATACGGGCACAATTTCTACAGGTACTGGTCAGCAAAACCTGGTTTGAATGAGGATAGCCCTGTTTTTTTTTTCACCCCTCTACTTTCCACCTTGCATTGAAATAATTGCAAGACCTCCAGGGTTAAAAATGACTCCTGACACTCAGTGTGTTGTCAGAAGTTATAAATACGCATAGCTGTCACTCTGGAAAAAAAAAAAGTTGCATGGAATTTGTTAAAAAAGTTTCAAGAAAGCACATTATGTTCTCTGCAGAACAAGTCAGAAAATGAAAAATCAAATAGATGTTTTTTTTTTCCTCCTTCCACCATTTTGACTGTACTGACTTTTCCAAGGTCCACGTCGACCGAATGAAGGCAAAGGCAGGGAGAGAGACGGCGAGAGGACGAATGTGTTGAGGTGTGTGACGACTCTGTAAGGAATGATAAAGAGACAGAAGGAGAGAGCGCTGATTTTACCGCACCAAGGCCGACGTGCTTCGATTTATGAGCAAAAAATGTGTGTGTGTGTCCCAGCTCCGCCGCTGACCTTGTAAAACCCCTAAAAATCTGTTTGAATTCCTCCAGTGCAACGATCCCGTCCATTTCCAGCGGGGTTATTACTAACAAAGGAGCAATACACAGACGTTTTAAGAAGGACTTAAACGACAGCTCAGCCCCAGAGACCTTCTTATATAGCGATAAATCAGATAAGTCTCTGATCTTCAAGAGTTATTTTGCGATTTACGGCCTCATCCTTTGATGTGTCCAATTTCTTCCAGCGCAAATAATTTCTTGCTGAATGCTGAATGACGCCGTAAAACGAGTTTACAGCCAAAAAGGTTTCACTAGCTGACGCACATAACGACCAAGTCGTGACATTTTATGTCCAATTATATTTTTAGACGGGAAAGCTTTACCAACACCTTTTATTCTCCCCTCTATTCAAAGGATGAATAAGGAACACGGACGAGATTCATGTGAAATTTAAAGTGGTGAATGATTAATACTGGCGTTTATCAGATGATTCAGTTCTCTGCAACAATTTCAAGCAGAAAACCTGTTTGTTTTCTCAAAGAAAGCATTCTGTCAGCTGCCAGGTTTTAAACTAAAATATTCTCTATCTTAAGTTTCAGCATTTTTGGTCAAATCTTTAAAATAAAGTTATAGGAGGTGTCAAACTTGTTTTCACTGAGGGCCACCTGAGCATTCATTATGGTTGCCCTCAAAGGGCCAGTTGTAATTAAGGCCCTGTCCCAATACCCGCACTCCCACCCTCATTCTGCCCTTGTGCACTTCAAGTGCTCGTTCATGTTGATGGGTTTGAGTGTGTATGTGTTCCACATTCTCCACATGCGCCCTTCGCACCGCCCATTTTGGGTACTATTTCCGCCCTTCTGCCAAGTCTGCATTTTTATGGACTTCGGTGAAGTGTATTACCCACAATTCATTGCTGCCAAAAGAGCGACCGTTTTTTTTAAACCCATTTTGCCCCACTGGCAACAATTGTTGCCAAAGTGTATCACTGTCATTTTTGACTAAGTAAAAAAAAAAAAAAAATCTCAAAACTACACTGTAAAAAATGAAATGTTGGATTTACTTAACCATGTTATGTTACCTGGTTCCACTTAACTGAGTTGAGTAAATTCAAAGCAATATACCAGTTTTTTAACCAAAGAACATGAATATGTTGCTTTGAATTTACTCAACTCAGTTAAGTGGAACCAGGTAATATAACATGGTTAAGTAAATCCAACATTTCATTTTTAGAGTATATTAATGCAACATTTTCCACTTGTACACCAGTAGACAACTTAGACAAAGGTTTTGATTTTGAAAAAAAAATGTTTCCAAGTGCTTCCTCTCACATAACATCATATGCTTCTTGCTCCTTCAGGCTGAAGACATGGAAGATGCAAATCATCCTGGAAAGAGGTCAGTTTCATAAAATTTCTTATGATTTTCCCCCAGACATATTTATAATTATTTAATCTTTCAAGTCTCTAG